ATATATATATATAAAATATGAGTTAAAGCATTTAAGAAGTTATTTGTTGAATAATAAATGACTTTGTTCGGGATTATAATTGAATGAGTTGGGTTGTGTTTATATTTGGTTCCACATTCGACTTTTTAAAAGATGTTCAAACTTATTTATTTTATAATTTGAACAAATTAGATTGAGTATTAATCGAGCCAAATTTGAGCTGTTCATTTAGTGGATTGGTTCATTTAGAGCCCTAATGGTGATGACCATCAACTTTGATCGAAAAAAATGGACAAAGAAGAGATTAGAAGATTGAGACTGCAAAAGTTATTTTTTTGGGTACCATAATTTAGATGGTTGTCTTGTCTAGAACTTGCTTTTTAATCGGTATATTACATATCCTATAATTTGCATCAAATGATTTTTTTATGGTCATGCGACATTTTGTTTGTTTATTCTAGAGTTTTGAATGGCCTTGTAGTTGTGGCCCTTATGCCTTGTCCTAGCTCTAATTTTACATTTAAAGTCTGTTTGGGGCAACTGCAGCTTATTGAAAACCAACTGTGAAGCTGCAAAAAAAGAATCTGATTCTCAAAAAACTGTGGTGACTATTATAATTTTTTTTTTTGTGAATTAGAAAACGGCCACCGCGTCTACCCAGGACAGGTGGGAAAACGTAAATTTCAACAACAGTTTTTTTGAAAAAACTGTCAAAACACATTTTACCCATACAGACAAAATTGCGGTGCTGTGTCACACCGCCACCCCCAAATGGACTCAACAGACAAATAAAAAAAACATTATTTAATATAATTAGCCTTAGGATATTAAAATATTTTTTTGTAAAGTAGCTAGAACACAATTTTTAGGCTTTTAATATAAAATGACGATTTTTAGGCGTTTAATGTGAAACACCAAAATTTTAGGTGTTTAATTCAATACCTTTTTTTTAATAAATTCAGCTATTTAACAATGAGATTTATCATCCGCTATCATATCTTTGCCTTCCCACCTTTGTTATTGAAGATTTTTTGTATAACTTTCTCTAGCTCATGTTTGTTTTTACTACCTTATTTTTCTTTATTCTAACATTGTCGAAGCAGGAATTTAATCTATCATGCGTATAATTTTTTTTACTTAATATGTGCTAGATTTACTAAAAAGTTGATGATCAGATATGTCACTCATCCTTGATAATTGTTTGAAACATGAAATTTGTGATAACTTCAACACGCAAACCAGAAATTATATAACTTCAACACGCAAACCAGATGAATTTTGTGATACAAAATTTATTAGATTTCATAGCATAACATTTATAAATGTGATAATTGAAAAATGTAGAATTGGATATATTTATACAACAACAACGATAACAAACTTTTATCCCACTATGTGGAGTCGGCTACATAAATCCTTTTTTCTCCATTTTGTTTGATTGAGTGTCATATTTTTATTTAGTTCTAATAAATTAAGATCATTTTTTATACAGTATGCCCAAGTTTTTTTAGGTCTACATCTACGTTTTTTAGCATAAGTTGAATTTAAAGCATCTACTACCGGTTCATCAGGTTGTCGATGTTTAATTTGACCAAACCCATCTAAGATTACTTTCTCTAATCTTGTCTGCTATAGGAGCTACACCAACCCTTCACGAATGCATTTGTTTCACATTTTGTCTCCAAGTGTCAAGCAAGTCATTCATTCATTTAAGCATTCTCATCTTAGCAACACTTAACTTGGTTTTATGCATCTCTTTTAAAGGTTAATATTCTACGCTATAAAGCATTACAAGTCTCGCCACTATCTTATATAATTTTTTCCTTTAAGTTTTTGACTTGGGAGCTTACCTTCTGCAACACTGTAACAACTACAATATTGCTGACGCGGTTTTTTGTAGCTGCTACAACACGGACCCCCTTTTCTTATTTAATCCCTTCATGTGTCCTAAATGTTGTCTTGTGCACATCCACTAGTTTCATCATGATCTGGAGGTATCCCAACTTATTTTTTTTTGAAAAGATGGCTACCCCATAAAGCTCATTTAGCAACTCTTCTATCATAGGAATATGAAACTTATCCAACACCGTCTCTTTGTTCAAAGCTTGGTAGTCCATGTAGAACCTCCTATAACCATTCTTTTTCTTCACCAACAACTCTAGGCTGAAGAAAATGGCTCACGCTAGGTCTGATAATATGTTGCCTCGAGTATCTTTCGGATTAACTTCTCTATGTCATCCTTCTGAATCTAAGGATATCAATTTGGTCTGACATTGATACCCTCCTTTAATTTAATAGTGTGCTTGTGCTCCCTCAGTATGTCTGTAAGCTGCTATAAGTGCTACTGGACTCCTTCGGAAAACTCGGCCAACTCGAGATCTTGGACCTCCTCAATGCTTTGCAACTCCACCAAATAATCTATCCCTGCTCCCATATCTACTTGACCATGATTTTTAGCAAGACCATTGTTTTGCACAAGTTATCATCACTTTCTCACCCTCCACCTAGAACTCCATCGTATGGGATTTCTAGTCTACTTTCATCTTTCCAAGCCCAAAACCACATCTGTGCTACCCAATTCCAAGGGAAGGAGGTCCTGTACCGCATATCAACGCTGTATTTTTAGAACCGACCCACCCCTTTCAGATTCCCCACTTGTCTCCACTTTTCCTGTCCCAATCATGACATTAAAACTCCATGTAGCTAACGGTTCCAACCTTAACTTCTCCATGAACTAATTTGAGACAAAGTTATGGGTGGCCCCACTATCCACTAGCACCACAATCGGCTGTTCCTCGATTCGTCCCCTCACTTTCATAGTGTGATTCAGAGTGAATCTCATCACTAAATTGAGGGACACCTCTACTACATCCAATTGCAGATGCTCCTCCTCCACCATGTTTTACTTCGATTCCTCCCCTTATGTCTTCTCCTCCTGAACTGACAAGATCTCAAGGGCATGCTCCTTGCAACGGTGTTCCGGGGCATACTTCTCATCACATCTGTAGCATAGTCTCTTTGTTCTCTTATCTTGCACTTCTGCATCGGTGAGATGTTTGAAATTGCCCCATTGCCGAGTCCCCGCATTCTTCTTCTTTGACGTCTTTTTCTAAAATAACACTGTTTGGGTCCTCGATGTCATGACCGTTGATACACTCTTGTAGAATCCACTTGTGTTACTGTCCTTTACTGTTTTTTTCACTTGTTTCTTGTTTTTCATCATCAAAGTTAGTTCCATCATCTCTTTTAATCCACACGGTCTCAATGGTCGGATGGCAGCTTGGATGTCGTGCTTCAGGCCTTCATGAAGTTCCCCTCTAGTCTTGCTGCAAAAATAGCCCTCAATCACCCTGAAAAGAGCTCGAACCTCTCTCCGCACTCCTTGTCTATCACCTCTTGCATTAGAGCATAGAATTGCTCGTGTAGATCTCTTTCTCGAATGACTCGGAAGCACTTCAACAAGCAATTCTTAAACTTCTCTCACGAATGCATCATATACCTTACCTCAATCCACTGAAACAACATTAATGCCCTTTTCCTCTAAATTGAATCCTACTGCCATTAGCTTCTCTTCCTCAATTAACCCATTGACTGCAAAGTAGCACTCCACCCAATACACCCACCCATGTCTGTCTTCTCTTTTATGTTCAACATCTTTAGTTTTTTGGTTCTTGCATCTCCACACCAACTTCATCTTCCTTCGATATTTCCCCCCATGTGTCTTGGGTGATACTCCTTTCTTCGATCATATTCATACTCTCGGTTTCCTCTTTCCTTTCTCTTTTGCGCTCTTTCGTGCCCCTTGCACCATCCCTCCAATTTTCAGCCCAGCCCCTTTGTCAGAAGTCTCCACTCCCCCTCCTCTCGCAGTCCAGGGGACACTCTTGGTGGTAGATGATGTCCTCTTTTTTATCTTCTCTTTCGATTTTCTTTCCTTTTGATCTGGTCAAAGATTCCTTGATCAACCCTTGTTAAAGTTTGCAACTTGAGCGATTGACATG